GCAGCACAGCCGGATCTTGCTTTTCCTCCCGGCTCCCACCCACCCCAGTCCCCGATGCCGGGAGGAGAGCGCAGCCGGGGCTTGCTCTCTCTCCCGGATTCCACCCCACCCCAGTCGCCACCGCTGATGCCGGAGGAGGGCCGGGAACACCTGCCCCCGCCGGTCAGCTGGGGGAAGGTACTGTATGGGGGGAAATCGCAAAGCCATTGTGGTACAATTCATTGTGATGGTGGTCTGATGTTTTGTAGGCCTTTGAGAAATCTCTTGAGAGTCGAAGAATTTAGCAGACCGAAAACCGGGAGATTGGTGAGCTATTATGGCTGAGATATATACTTTGAAAGTAGAATGTGCAAGTCCAAGATTAAACAAATGAAGGATGAAGGTAAGTATCATTCTAAGGGAGGTTGGGACCGGAGTGAGTCCTTGAGATTGAGTAAATTTGATGAAAGACTGCCATTTGCCTTGATAGAGTTGGGAATTGGATGGCTTCTGAGTGCGGTCCAGGATTGTATGGAACTCGGGGTTATCCTCCATGTGGTCAAGTGCAGAGATCCGATGTCTGGATGGAGAATGGACCCGTAGTTCTGAGACAGAAGGGTTGGTATTGAAAGTAGGTGAAACAGCTCTTTTGTTATTCCTTTGAGGTGAGCAAACCATGTTTGTCGAGGCCACCATGGGGTGATGAGTATCGCATCCGCTTGGTATTGGATGATTCTGATTACTGTCTTGAGTAACATGGGTATCGGAGGGAAAATGTAGGCGAGTTCCCCTGAACAATTTGTCATGAACAAGCGACTCAGTATCTACGCCTGCCCTTGAACAGTATCTGGGGCACTTTGTGTTGCGTTGAGATGCAAAGAGGTCTATTGTTGGTTGGCCCCATCTGAGATAGATGTCTTAGAAGACCGTTTCATTCAGAGACCATTTGTGCATGCGGGCGGGAAGCCTGCTGAGGCAGTCCACAAGGTAGTTGTGATGAAATGAAATATGGATGGCTTGAGGGAAAATATGGTGAGTGTGGCACCATTCCCAAAATTTTATGGTGAGGTGGGGAAGAGACAGAAAGCATGTGCCTTCCTGTCTATTTACATAATGCATGGCTGTAGTGTTGTCTGTTACGAGTTGAACCACTTTTCCTTTGATGCGCAGTAGGAAGGCTTGAAATGCATTCATGATAGTCATCATCTCCAACTGATTTATGTGAAGTGTTTTTTCTCTTTTTGTTCACAAGCCGTGGATCTGGAGTTCTTGCCAATGTGCTCCACATCCCAAGGGGCTCACGTCTGTGGTTACCTGTATTGACAGGTGAGGTGGTTCGAAGGACCTGTCCATTGATAGGTTGTGGATGGATGTCCATCGTGAGTTGGTCTGCCAGATCTGGTGGTATAAGTAATTTCTTTAGCGGACCGTCCGTTATGGGGTCGAATTGAGAGAGGAACCAGGATTGGAGTGTCCTCAGCTTCAGCCTGGCATGGAGGACAACTGATGTTGTGGATGTCATGAGGTCGAGTAGGTGTTGTACATCGTGGGCAGTTACGGTCTTGTAAAGCCGGAATTGGTGCACTGCCCTTTGAATTTTCACAATTCTTTGGAGTGGTAGGAACGCCTTTGCCTCTAGGGCATTGAGCTCAGCTCCGATGTAACTGACCAGCTGGGATAGTTCTAGGTGAGACTTTTTGTGGTTTATCTTTAGGCCCAGTTTGTTTAAAGTGTCCAATGTGATTTTCGTGGCTCTGACCGTGTCGTAGTAGGATTGGGCAACCAGGAGCCAGTCGTTGATATAGGGGAAGACCGCTACTCTGATATGAAGATACGCTACCATGGCAGCCATGCATTTGGTGAATGTTCTGGGGGCTGTCGAGAGCCCGAAAGGGAGAGCAGAGAATTGGTATGTTGTAGTTTTGAACCGGAATCTGAGGAATTTTTGGTGCATAGGATGTACTGATATATGGAAATAGGCATCCTTGAGGTCGATGGTTACAAACCAGTTTCCCTGGGACAGAAGAGGGATAACGGAATCAAGGGTTTGCATACGGAATTTTCTATACAGTATGAATTTGTTAAGGTCTCTAAGGTCCATGATTGGCCGAATACCTCCATCCTTTTCAGGGACTGCAAAGTATTGGGAGAAGAACCCATTGTTAGAATCAGAAGATGGAACTCTGACTATAGCACCCTTTCTGAGGAGTGATGAAATTTCCTCTCGCAAAAGTACTGAGAAGCAGGTGCTCTTAATGAAATTTGGTGGAGGGATTTTAGAAAATTCTATAAGGTAGCGCTTTTTGATAATAACTAGAACCCGCTTATCAGTTATAATCCTCCACCTTTCTGGGAGGAACAGGGAGAGTCTCGTGGGGCTATGGGAATGATTAGGCATATTGCTTTCCCCTTTGTTGTGTCTTATGAAAAGACTGTCTGGTGCCTTGGTATTGTTGTTGTTTGAATTGCAGGGGGTTGGTCTGTGGCGGTTGCTGCTTAGTGTAACGAAAGGGGTGGTATTGATATTCCTGGTGGTAGAAAGGCTTTTTGTAAGCAGGCCTCTGGTATTTATATGGTTGGTACGGTACATATGACTTGGCCATTTTCCTCATTTTATAGATGGTTTCCATTATGTCATCAGTTTTAGCATTAAACAACCCCACAGCATTGAAGGGGAGGTCCTCAATCTTAGTCCTGGTATCGTCAACGATGTTAGCCGCCCTAAGCCAAGTGTGCCTTCTGACTGCTATCGAAGTTAACATGGTCTTCAATGCGGTGTCAGCAGTATGTTTCACAGCGACACTCTGCTGTTTTGTGAGGGTGGTAGCCTCCGTATACACATTAAGAACTTCAGTCTTAGATGGCTCCAGCACTGCTTGCAGAGCGGGGAGTATTTTGTCCCATAAATGTCTCTGATAGGCACCCATTGCCGCCTGGTAATTGGAGATCCTGATCATCAATGCCGCTAGCAAGAAAAATCTTCTCCCTAAGGAGTCAATTTTTTGTCCCTCTCTATTCATAGGCGTTGTGAAAGACCTGGTGCGGGACTTGTATTGCGTGGCTTTGACCACTATTGAATTAGGAGTCAGATGTTTGGCTACGAAGTCCGATTCTGATCCATATGTCTTATAATGGTGTTCTGCCCTTCGTGGAATTTGAAGAGTCGAGGGTGGCTTATCCCATGAGTCTTTAACAAGCTTAAGAAGTGCTGGGATAAGGCTCAAACTAGGTGGGAATGTCTTATCCTCGTCCATATCATGGAATGCTAAGTCTTTCTCCTGCTGCAATGATATTTGAGCATCAAGTTGCAGGGTCTTTGCCATGCGTAATATGAGTTGGGCGTAAGATGTGTAGTCGTCCATAGGTGACAGAGGATGACTGTCTACGGTATCAACGGAGGGGTGTTGAGTTTCGGATACACCCGACGACAATGAGTCATCCTTATTAGAAAAGATAGAAGCCCTCGAGGATGAGCGATGGAAGCTCCTTGAATGAATCCTTGGAGGGGAGTTGGTGTCCAACTGTGTAGATGCGGAGAAAGGCTCGGTATCGTGGCCGGAAGGGCTGGAATAAAGTGTGGTTGTGTCTACTGAAGGACGGCTTCTGCGGTGTTTAGGTTGTTTAGTTGGTATAGAGACCTCTGGTACCACCTGTCTTTTCCGAGGTGGTTCGACTTGGGGAGCAGAAGCATCCCCTCAGCCTTGCGAAGGGGCTTTCGGCGGAGGCGCCATGGAAGGTACCAAGGTGGTGGTGGGTAATTGAGAAACCTATATTGATCTTGATAGCCATAGCCATGGTACAGGTATGGGTGGTATTGAATGAAGTAAGGATAGCTGTACTGCGGCAGATCCTCGGGATGGTAGCATTGCTCCTCATGGCTGTAAGGTTGGTATGGAGAAGTGTGTTTGCGCTTCTCGCTTCTCTTTTTTGGAGTGCATATAGCGGACTCCTGTTCAGATTCGACATCAATATCTGCCTGCCCTGAGGATCAAGGTCTAGAATAGGCCAAGGCCAGGCTGGAAGGTGCGTAAGCCTCACAATGGTCTGAACTTGGAGAGAAGCTGGGAATAACATGAGGTGTTTGGGCTGGAGGAATGCCACATCCCTCTCTATCCGAGAGCCCAAGATCTTCTCTCGAGGATTCCTCCAAAGGCAATGGAGCCAGAGGAAGGGATGTGATAGCCAGTTTGGCAATTTTCTTTTGTTTCTTAATTTTTTCCTTGTCTTTTCTCTTCTTTGCAGGATCAACTGACCGTGGTGGAGCCTTAGTGGAGGCTAATTTGGCCGGTTTCAGAGAGTCCTTGGATTTGGTAAGTATCAAAACCATGCTGGATAAAGATTGTGCAGCTGGACTGGAGACAGATTTAGTAACCTCCTGTCGTTGAGGATTAGGAGAGGGGAGAGTTTGCACCACCATGGCAGGATTAAGAGTCCTTTTGTAAAGAAAGGACCTTAGTTGCTGAAGTCTCAGTTTAATAGCTTGTTTAGAGAAGTTTCTGCATGTGGCACACGACTGGGTCTGATGGGATTCTCCCAGGCAAAATAAGCATTGATTGTGTCCGTCCATCAATTGAATTTTTTGTGGACAAGGGGAACACTTCTTAAAGCCCCGAGGGGTCATAAAACAAGAGGACACAGAAAAATAAAATAAAGGAGGGGGAATCCAAGGGGAAGATGGGGGAAGGCGGGAAAGTAGTGAAAGAACGGAATGGAGATCTTATAGCTATGAGGGTAAAACAATAAATAATGATTAGAAAAAAGAAAAGGTAAAAATCTCTACAGAAGTTCGAATTTACTTTCCTTAACGCAACAGCGGGAAAAAAGGAACTGAAAGTAAGGTTGATGAGGCGGAGCTTGCACCCTGGGGGGGAATTAAATTGTTTCTTTTTTCTAAGCTCTAAAATCTTCCGAACGTCCTGCGCAGGCGCAGAATAAAACCCATTTGTGTGCATTCACAGAGGCCACTACGAAGAAGATAGGCTTTTGGCAAGATCCAACAGGGCATTTCTTCCTTTTCTTAAAAAGTTAAAAATATCTACTTTTAAAAGATCCATTTGCCAATTGTTCTTCCTGCTATCACAATTGGAAACAACTGTTTTAGTAACTTTCCAGTTATTATCCAGTTCTTAATGTGTACCCTTTGCTTCTCTCTTTCTGAAAGCTCTGAAATCTATTTCAGTCCAAGTAGTTTAAGGTCAAAAGAAATTGCACCCCCCAGCCAGCTTATTCTTCATGTAGCCCCAAAGAGGCGATCAGACACACTCTTGCTCAACTATTTAAGTCAAGGAGACACCAATATCTGTTCCTAAAATGTATATCTAGACAAAGAAATGTAGGCAAAGTAAAAAAAAAGTTATGCAAATAACGTAATTTCTACTAAAAGCATGAGAAACTTTTCAGAACAATGACATTCAAATTCTTGTGTATGTGTGAGAGACATGGGGCAAAACTAGGCACTTTGGAGGCTGCAAAATTAAAAATAAAATATATCAAACATTGAGTAAAATCCTATCACATAAATTTACACTGGCAGAAGCTGAGGATATCATCAGTCAACATTAGTAAAATTTAATGCAAATTAATTAAAAACATCCTCTCCCTCTGTTTAGGTTCCAAGGCTCCCTATGGCTCACTTTTGCCTTGTGGAATCCTTTGGGAGCTTCAGGCTGTGGGTGGGGGTGAGAGGAAGCCTTCAATTGTCTAAAATCACTGGAAGGTCCCAGTCCTGGCATTGACAAATCAGCAGTGATTGTTGGTAATTAAAGACTCTTTCCACTGTCCTGCAGCTCCCAAACAGTTCCCCAGGGTGAATGGAAACCCTAGGGAGCCTCAGAACCTAGAAGATAGGGATAGGAAGCTTTTAATTAGATTATATTACATTTTACTAGTGCCAGCCGATGACCCCATCAGCTTCTGGCAGTGTAAATTTAGGACAACAGGAGTTTGACTACTAAACAGAAAACATAAGGAGGTATCAGTAAGAGAGAAATCAGCATTCAAACTTTTTACAGCATACTTTTGTTTTGGAGGAAAATACTAGTTAACATGAGGCACCAAAAGCATACCTGAGATCCTGCAGCAACATTATTTATAAGATGGTTGTTGGGATGAGCAATCCAAAATGTTGAAACCGCCCTGCAACCAATGAGTGAGACACACTGAAATATCACATGTGAGAAGTCCATAAGATTCTTCAGTCTGGTAACAAAACAGTAAGTGCTTTTATTTGAAGCAACTTCTTTTTTGTGGCAGGGATATGCTCTCAATACTCTAAGATGCAATGCCTAAAACAATACATAAACCAGCAATTCATTTTTGGCAACCAATAGGGATATTCTTATCTGGTTTTTATAATGGCACTTGCGTTCCTATAGTGAGGATTAAGGTAAAATTACATGTAGTTTGAGTCATCTCTGGAATAAAGGGATACTTTCAAACTGGATGGAAGGAAAAGAAAATCTTTCTCTATACATTAAGAGTATCTGTTCAGAACAAAGAAGCATTTTGTTTCCTGAACTATGAATACTGGCTTGGATTCCTGAGAACTTATCAGGAATGCTCCTCTCATGGGATCTTCTAGCAGGTGGAGGGGGGCGTCAATCTTTGCTGATGCTCCCTGCAGCCCCCTGAAAATCCTGGTATTAGAAGCTCCTGGAATTATGCAGGAGGTGGCAGGGCTTCACTGAAGCAAAGGCCTTTCTGCTGATATTTGTGGCCTTTTCACTCACAGAATGGAAACTCAGGATCCAAACCATTTAGCCAAATTTAGCTGGTTTTGACTCACACTGCAACCAATCTACTTATGCTCACTTCTTCTTTGCTGGAAGCCTCTTCTCTTCTACTGGAGTGACACAGTTCCCTCTTTTTCTGTAATCCAGCTGCCTAGTGAACCCTGCCTATTCCTAACTCCAAACATGTCTATAACAAAAGGATGAAAATTTTTCTTGCCTGTTATGCAACTACAGTGGTGCCTCGCAAGACGGGCGCTCCGTTTAACGACGAATCCGCATTACGACGAGGTTTTTGCGATTGCAAAAGTGATCGCAAAACATTTTGAATGGGGAAATTTTGCTGCACAATGATCGGTTCCCTGATCGTCAGGTTTTCGAAATGGCCGCCAGGTGCTCAAAATGGCACCCCGCTGTGTTTAGGAGCCATTTTTCACTGCATAAGCACCTGAAAATGGCCACCCCATGGAGTATCTTCGCTGGATGGTGAGTTCTTAGCCAATTGGAACACATTAACCAGGTTTTAATGCGTTTCAATTGCTTTTTTATTTTCACTTTACGACATTTTCGTTCTACAGCAATTTCGCTGGAACGAATTAACGTCATAATGCGAGGCACCACTGTACAGAAAGTGAGGAGTGTGAATGTCTGAATGGAGTAGTGGGCATAAATGAGTCGTCACCTCAAATTCCACTTCTCCTCCTGCTCACTGACCTTCAGATTCTTACAGATGAGTCAACAGAGCCTCAGATCTCATTATGTTACAGGTTAGCATGTATGAATATCATATTCAGTGCTTTACATTGGGTCCAAAAAGTGTCAGCAATTGATGCAACCAGTTTAATAACAGGTTACCTAACTGGAGACCAAACCAATTACTACCACTGGCTACATTTTTTGCCAGATGAAATGTATAAACCATCTTTTTTTAAAGACAAGCAGATGTAGACTAATTGGCCAACATGCTTCCAGTGCGCAGGGGAACAGTATGTCCCAGACAAATTAGACTATAGTTTGCATAGGCCCCAAAGCATAATGTGAGGGGAAAACCACTCCTAGACATCAGTACCATCCAAGCCTCCCAGTTAATACTGGATCCAGGAGAACTCCTAACCTGCACATTTTGTTCAATAGTTTCTCTCCCCCTCCCACTTTTTCCCCTTTAAATCTCCTTGTTTAGCCCACTACTCACATGCAGTCTGTGGCTGGTACTGGCTCATAGCTTCCATAGACATGATCCCTCATGACTGTGCACATTGTGCTATTTCTGTCTGTTGGAAGAAGTGTGCCTGGTTTGGTGAGTAGCCCTAGATTATGAAACAGGGTATTTCTCTGTTCTATACCATCTTCCAGGAAAAAACAATGACCTAGTGTGTCATAGCCAATGGTGTCTTTTATCTGCAGAAAAATAAGGTTGTTACATCATTCTTGAATAGCTGTATTGGGGCTTGAAAAATGTATTACATTTTTACTACATTGGCATAGTTATAATCAGACAAGACACTTCAATGTTAGCAATGTAAACCAAACAATGAGCCATACAAATTATCTAACCACAAATGCAGAACTTTTGAGATGAGCTCAAACTTCATCTTCATGCCCTATCTAACAAACCAGCAGCAAGAGCTAGCTATAGATAGATTAGGCATAAACGGAATCTTCAAAAGATATATTTAAAAAAAAACTAGCATACGACTAAAATAAGAACAACTAATCAAAGCTCAACCACAAACCTGACATCATGATCACCAATTAGCTTATAATCACAGATGAAACAAACAGCAGGCAAAAGGTTGCCATTAGTGGTCCAAACTGTGCTGATGCCTTTTCACCTGCCTATCCATATAAACCACTGGCAACCATGGCATCTGAATTAATAGTCTCAACAAGAGGAGAGCAACTGAATAAATGGAATTTGCATAAGTTACATACCAAGTTCCTACCAATTCAATGGGTCTATGCTAACTGAATCTAAAAACTGAATTCAGGCCAAGAGCACTAGTAAAACCCTTTCTTTCTATGAAGGTTGCGTGATAGAGCTAACACATGCTCAAAATACCCAGCCACCACCCCACACTGGCAACAATGGCAAAGAAGGCTGCCCTCTACATTACATTCCTGGGGCAACAATCTTAAAGCGCCTGATCACATCAGCTAAATGTTCCCCAGTTCTTTTTTAAAAAGTTATAATAAGCATACACTACACAATCCACTTAAAAAAATTAAATAGAAAAATAAGACATAGTTTTTATACACAAGACTTTAAAATTATTTATTTATTTATTTATTTATTTATTCATTCATTCATTCATTCATTCATTCATTCATTCATTCTATTTGTACCCCGCCTATCTGGTCAATACGACCACTCTAGGCGGCTATCATAATGTCCCCCCCCCCGCAACCAGGACCACTGGAGATCTAAACAATTCTCTTTCCTTCAAGGATTCCCATTTCCCTTCCAAAACTGTAACATTCCTTGTGATGGTGTGCATCCCTTTCCCTTATTAATACATGCTCAATAGTCTCCCCAAAATTCTGCAAAACTATGCCTTTTAAGCAGCTCCTTCTTTACTTCAATATTACATGTTAATTTATCATTGATCTCTATATTCCATACTTCTTTATACCATTCATTTAACTGAAAGTCATGTTTTATTTCCCAGTACCTAGCTATCATTAATCTAAAACAGCCATTAATAAATCAGAAATTAGTTCTCCAGTTGCCCAGTTATATTCCTCCTTATCAAATATTGATAAAAGTGCTACTTTATTACATACTTTTACATTTTGCTTAGTTATTTCTATAAATACAATTTGCCAAAATTTCATCACACTCTCACATTCCCATCCCATGTGAAAATAAGTTTTCTGGCATACTCTCCAACACAACATAGAATAGTTTTTATTTATTTGCTTCAATTTCACCTGAGTTACATACCATTGGCACACAATTTTAAAGTTCTCTTTAATCCTTATATACATTTCACTATTCTTACATCCCACATTTTCTCCCATCTTTAAGTAGTCATCTCTTCCTCATATCATATTTCCATAACGATGCATTCCATACCTCTGTTGTACTGAATTGTGGTCATGAGGTATATGTGTTGGGGTGAACATTCCCATTTGTTTTAATGTTACCAATTCATTTCTTCCTGTTTGTAACCTCATGGCCAGCTACACCATGGAACCGATATATTTCCTGGTGCACTGCAGCCCATGACTTTACAGTTTTACACATATTTCATAGATAGAGGTTATTTCAGAGCTAAAGCCCCTAACCCTTTCACCTTATGGCCTGTCTTGATTTCTTGAGCCTTTTGCTCCTTTGATTGCTTCCAACTGTTTTAGGCTGTAGTCTGGATTGTGTGGATTGGTTCTGTTGGGATCTGGGGTACTGGAAGCCTTACCTGGCAGGGCAAGCTGCACACAGCACTCATCCTCCCATGTTACTTCTTCTGTAGTGCCCATTCCTGCCCCATAGTTTCCCCATATGGGATTGCTCTGAGACTCCTCCACATGGCTCATGTAAATCCATGCCTCCCTTCCTCCACTGGCAAAGGACAGGTTTATAATCTACAATTCCATTTCCCATCATAGTTTCAGTCTATGATTTGTAGCTTATCACAATCAGCAAAACATTGCTGCAAATATAATGCTAACCATGATTCAGTCTGAAGGGGTAAACTGAAGTGGAGGTTCAACTAAGGGAAGAAGGAAACCAAGAATGAGAGTGAACCTTTAAGTCACTCCTAATCATCATTAGATCATGCAATGTTATACAGTGGTGCCTCGCTTAACGGGCGCTCCATTTAGCGACAAAATCGCTGAGCGATGACTTTTTCAGAGCGTTTTTGCCCTTCGTTTAGCAATGGTCCCTATGGGCAATTTTCCCTCAGTGATGGTTGGGACCACGCTTCGCATAGAGATTAAATTTTGGGTCCCCTGTTTCGCTTAACAATGGTTTAAACAGCCTCATGTTTGCCGTTTTTTAAATGTTTTTCTGTTATTTATAAAGTTAAAGTTTACTGTTTAAAATGTTTGAAATCATAAAGTGCACTTAATAAACCCTTTGTTAACCAAATTTGACTTTGTTCTGACTCTTTTTTAATTTGTTGTTGTATTTTCCCCCCATTGAGATGCATTGAATAGGTTTCAATACATTTCAATTGGGGAACCGCATTTCGCTTAGCGATGTTTCCTATGGCGATTTTCGCTTAAGGACGGCAATTTGTTCTTATTGGGATGGATTATCAGGGTTTTCAATGCATTTCAATGGGAAACCGCGTTTCGCTTAGCGATGAAATCGCTTAGCAGCTATTTTTCGGAACGAAATAGCATCGCCTAAGCGAGGCACCACTATGCCTTCATTTCACCCTGCAGATTTTCATGGAAGGTTGCTAAAACAATCTTAGTGTCACACTTTTGTTCATAAAGAGGAACATCAAGTTCAAGAAAGCTCACAGGCTTCTATTAGACAGTTAAAAACAATTGGTTGGATACTATCTATCTACCTTCCACGAGTTAAAGACTCCTGCTCACACAAGGTATCCTCAACCAGTTTACCAACTTTTACCACATAGCTCTCCAATTCTTTGCATGGGAACTGGACAAGCTGCTGTGGGGAGGATGGAGTGAGCACATCCATTTCAGCTCGTTTTGCTGCATGTGCTTAAATATGGATCCAAATTAATTTTGTTCCCCAAAAGCCTCATTGCCAAAGAATTTCACATTTCCCTTCATTCATTTGTTCCTACCAGCAGGCCATTCGTTGCATGAATGGTAACGCATCTGGAGAAACAGTGATGAATTGATAGGCCTTCTAGAAAAGTCCTGTAGCTGTACCCTCCTTTCTCATCCACATCTCCACAACGGTGAAAGTGAACAGGGTACCTTCCGTGCACTTGCTGACCCATTTGTTTGAGTTCCACATAAGACAGATGGACAGATGTAAAATTCTTCAAAATCTGGAAGACCACAAAATGTTGATCCAACTAATTTTTCATTGTTTACACATTGACATACTTTGGCTGCTTTTCAGGTTTCACAGCATGTATTTCAGTGAAATACCAACACAGCAGAGTTAAAGAACATCTTAAAATCTATATGAATTCCAGCTACAATGAAGAGCTATAAGCAGAGCATATGGATAAGGTCCCAAATTCAGTCTTTAGCAAACCTACATAAAATAATGTTGGGTGGTATGCCTGCTGCCAATCAAAGTAGCAATATGGGGCTGGATCTGGACCTGTATAAAAGCAGTTTCACTTGTTCATGTAATATAGCTTAGAGATGAAAAATAATACTTCCTGGACCACAACTTCAGGAACAACCTAACTAGTACAAACAGTGGTCATGCTGGCTGCAATATTCTCGGTACCGTAGTCCAAAAGAGTGACATTTGCATCTCTGATAACTAAAATGACATTGATGTAGCAGACCTAGGAAGCCCAGTGCTGCAACATACCCAACATCTTACACATTTTTAGTTCAACTGCATTTTCAACAAATGGAAACAGTGTGACAAAAGTATACATACAAAAGAATGTAATCCCCATTAACCCATCTTGTATACAGGAGTGAAAGCTGCAGAGAGGAAGCAATTGCCGTACCTGGATATGTCCTCCAAATGTATCGTAACTGAAGAACTGGCACTCTTTGCCAGTGTAACAAGACTCTCCCATTTCGCCCTTTATTAATATATTCCTGGTAAGAACCCCAACCTCAGCTCTCATATCCACTCCATCAATTATTTCTCCCATATGATGGAACTGAGGAGTTTCTGTTTAAAAGAGTGTTGCATTCAAAGAGAAAACAAACAAAAGGAAGGAGGCTGTTAATTCTTCTCTGTTACAGATATATGCAAAATGTTAGCACAATTTTCAGGCTTAAATAAATTATATCATAAGAATATAATCTTGCCCCTATACAATCCAGACCTGATTAGCAAGGATGCTACGTTTTTATTATCATCAGAAAGTTAATGTATCAAAACCAGAGTGGCAAAGGTATATGAAACTCATCCTCTGAAACACTTTGGGTGACTAGATGGGCATTTATCCCACTGTCTGGGCCACTGTGGAGTTAGGTTGGTGTTGCTGGTGACCAAACCATGTGTCAGAGTGAACAAGCCCATCCACAGAGGGTTCCCACCTGCACCCTTCTGGTCCCTGTCAGGGGCTGCTGTATTTTCAGGAGTGGGCAGGACCACTCTGTATTTTTTTGTTTCCAGCACATGAAATCACTGGAATCAAACCAAAGCAGAGCTTGCTATTTAAATTTTACTTCCATTTTCAATTTCCCAATATTGTTAAATGGCTTAAGGAGACAGGTTAGCCACATCACAATGGAAATTTTAAAACTTCCTCTGCTACTCTGTGAGCAGTGGAAGGAAACAAAAGATTTTTTTTAAAAGCCTATGAAGATGTACTATACCTTTTAGAAAAAATAAAAACTGAAAGTTTCCTACCAGGAGGAGGAAGAGAGAGAAGAGGGCAAGGAGGTGAATGCTTTGTTTTCTTTGTTCTCTTATGGGAGGCAAGACAATTAGGGGTGCTTGAGGTGCTTATGATATCTGAATGCAAGGTGACCTCAAATGGCATATTGGACCTCTATGAGACCTTAAGTGAGCCCACTCCAACCAAGTCATGTAGCCAAGCCCTCAGTTCCTTTCAATCTCTCTTGCATTGGTGAAAGGGAGCATTGCAGATTTGCCTTTCATCATCTCCTTTTTCCTTTTCAAAAGATTCCAGCCTAACCTGCAATAGCAACCTGTTTTGGAATGTGTTTTAAGAATTATTTGGAATATGTCTCTCATATTTCTTTTAAGACTTCTTCTTTTCCATGTTTCCTTTACTCGTATTTTTGTGTTGCAATCCATACTTACACTTCATTCAGTATTTCTAAAAGTTATCTTGTCTATACATCATGAAATCTCTTCCCATCTCTTATTCTCTCTCTCACACAGACAAGTTTAGCAGTTTCTTTATCTCCACTGGTTCCTTTATTTATCCCTCTAAAACACAAACTGCTTCAATAAATGTACCTTCAACCAAGTCAAATGCTTTCAACACATCTACATCTGTCTTGATAAAGTTTCCCTTTACTAAGTAATGGACCTCATCATCTGGAAAGGAACAGTCAGAGCACCAAAAAGGAATAACTAGACTTCTTGAAGTCTGCACAAATTTCCATGAAGGCTGTAAATTCCACACCATTGCTTCCAAAAGTATGCTTTTAACACTTTCACCAGTTTGTTACATAAGTTCTCTAAAATCCTCCTCTAACTAACTACCTTTCATAATGAATCATTGAAGGAACAGAATTCACATGAACCTCTTGATACAAATACATACTACATATTGATTGTTTCAAACAAACAATACAAAACTAACTTTAAAAAAAGTATTGATATAAAAGATGCTTTGCCTTTTTTTAACTAATTTTCATTAATTTTAACAAATATTCCATAAAAGTGCATTAATTATATTCACCCTTATACAGATTTCAACTCAACCAACCTTTGCTTTATATTAAAAATTTTCATAATTCCAGTGTTTTCCATTTTCCTGGAAGAGTTTTTTTAACACACTTACTTATGTATGTAGTAATATAACTCTCCAGAATTTTGTATATTGGATTTTTGGGTTCCCTTTCTGTTCATTTGTTGCCATGTATTCTATGTTGCTGTTTCAAGAGTCAGTTTTCTTGTGTGAGAATAAAATTTTAAATCTCTTTCTGAGCAGACTTCTGGGGAATGTTCCATTCCACACTCACTATATTGTTTTAAGTCTGTTATGATGTTTTGACAAGGGAGCTTGTTCAGCAGAAATCAGTAGGCCACAAAGAAGGGAGTCTGTTTATAGCATTGCAGCCATTAACTGATAGCTCTGCCCCAAGATCAGTTCTTTTGCCTGAAAATAAAATATTAAGTCTCTTTCTAAGCACAATTCTGCATGATGTTTCATTCCAGAATCACCATATTATTTTAAGCTTATATTTTAGTAAGATGTCTTGTTTAGCAAAAATTAGTAGGCTGGGAGGAAAGGGATCAATTTATGCTATTTCAACCATTAACAGCTAGCTCAGTACCCAAAGATCAGCTCTTTTGCCTGAAAATAAAATAAGCACAGTTCTATTCATTCCAGACTCACCATATTATTTTAAGCTTGTTGTGATACTTTGGTAAGGCGCATTGTTCAATGAAAATGAAAAGACCAGGAGAAAAGAATCAGCTTATGGTAAAGTAGCCACTAACAGATGGCTCTGCCCCCACAATACAGAATTACCCAGAGTTAGTATGCAAACTGTAAAAAAAGCAGCAAAAAGACTGTAATTCACATGAATGCTGCCTTGAATGCTTAGCAGCTCAAGTGAAGTTGATTTCTTGCACCAAAACCCAGCAAAGCTCCATATGCCTGAGATGTAGGAAGAGAAGAAACTCCTGACAGATTTTTGGAACATTTAAAGCAACTGGATATTAAATGACTAGAAAGCGGAGGAACTGCTTCCATATGGGAATAATTGGCTTGCCTTTCCACATCCATGTGAGAGAGATGGCACAAGTTTTATGTAGATGCAAAACTCTTGAGGTCTAAGAGAGGCAGATAGTAAAATTTCATTAGAAAGGTGAAGAGGTCTATATTTCAAGACGAAGAGCCAGCACACTGCACCAGTAGATGTTTTGCCCCTCATGTGAACTAGAGGAAAAGACCCAGAGAGGAAATACATGTTTCTACATCAGGTGGTTCTCAAAAACGTAGCATCTTTAGTCCTTTGCATATAAGTGAATTCACTTCTGTGAAAATGCTCCAGCCCCGCCTCCCTCCTTTCCAGTCACTTCCATTCAATCACCACTGATAAAATGATCAGCTTTGTTGGCCTCTCTTTGGCACTCCATAACCCACGTTTTTATAACTCAGTCACAAGCTCCCACTGAAATCCAATGGCGCTCCTAAACCAGCCATGACATGCCCACTTTCCCACCAGTTCCTTAGTAAAATGCCATTTTCTAGAGGAAACTAAACAAAACACATTAGAAGTAGTAATAGTGTTATTCCGCTACTATTTTCTCCTTAAAAAAGGGTGGGGAAACATTTGGGCACTTAGTTTTTTCTTAGATTAGCATTTGAATTGCTTGCACATCTCAGACAAAGCCTAAACAACATTCTACATGGCAATCATGTTTCCCGAGAACTCTGGAATTATACCGATCATTCCCATAGAGTATGAACACCCCTATGTGTCCTTAAAGTCCTAATGGGGTCATACATTTCCTAATGGACCTACAACAGCATTTAAAATATATACGGTACATCTGTTCACACTTGCAGGAAATGCTAACATAATCCTTCTGTTCGCAGCGTAAGCATGTCTTTGAAGTCAGACCAACGGCTGTTTTGCAATAAAGGGCACAATGTGTCAATATGAGCGTGTTGAGTTTAATGTTGAGAATCACTAGAACGATAGTTCTGAGGGATCTCTATTTCCACAGAACATCAGATCTGGTGTTTCAGAATGGGGCTATTTCACCACAATATCTTCCCAACACAAGTAGCAGGAGGAGAAGCTCATACAGTACTTTGGATTTCTCAACATCTCCAACACTCAATGTGACCAATATAAAGATGTGACTTGAAAATGGGGGAATGACATCTATCGATAGTAATTCCTCAAGTTTTCAGCCTGGACCCTAAGCAAACCTTCAGAGAGCCTCCTCTACATTCCCCCTCCAAGTGAAATGAGGTAGGTGACAACTAACAAATATTAAAAACAAATAATACGTGCATGGTTAAGAAAGTATGCTCAAAACAAATGTGTGCACAAAAAGTCCACAAAAAAATTAGTAATTATCCTCAAATAGGTAGCAGTATTTTAATATACACAGGCAACCAGACATCAATGTGACATACCATAAAGGTTCCTTCTCATAAGCATTACGCTGAAGCTATAGACAATAGTGGATGGAAAAGCAGCTGGAACAGGTTCTTAAAGTCAAGGTTGCAGCATTAATATTAAGGAGGAGGGACCACAAACCTCACAAGCTTACCACTTGTTTTTCTCCTCTCCCACTCTTACCTCTAACTTTGACTTGGTATTTGTTGCATTCTGGACAGGGAAGAAGGGTGAACTCTTCTGCCTGATACATGGAATAATCTGTGCTTGCAACTACAATCTGGTCTTCAGGTTTCCAAGTACTAACATCTTCAGATAGATCCAGTATCACTCCATCTACTGCTTCAACCTGGAAGCCCCACTTTGGAATACCTTAGGCAGACAAATGTATAATTTGTTTTAGTTACTCAAAACATTATTTCTGAACTACTTTTATAAATGTTCGTAGTAGTTTACATCCACACATTATGGATTCCTAGAATTCATCAGGTAGCAACTTCCAAAACTGGGAGGTACAGTAAAAAAAACCCCACAAACATGCACACCTCTGTTCTTCTTGTGCTCCTCTGCCCTGGCTGCTACCACCACTCCAAGAGCCTCTCCAATTAGAAACACCACCAAACTCACAGCTAGGACCCAGCTGTCACTGACCACTCCACTGGCGAAGAACAGTGACAGCACAGGGGTCAGTGGAGTGCTCCGCCCATGTTCCCTGGGCTGGGGCAGAGAGCAGTCCCACTGGCAGAATATCCGGCAACCTCTTCCTCATGCGCCTTGTTGTGTTCGTTCCCAGCTACCAGAGGAGACCTGCTGTTGCAGAGTGCCTTCTCATCTCCATTCTGTTGGACAAGCTGCCCTTAGGCAGATTCCACTTTAAGTACAAAAGCCCTTCAGGCAAGAGGCACAAGGTGTGGGAGCTGCCTTTCCTGGTGCACACACCTTCTGCCTCAACCCTTAGCAGTGGTGGCAGTAGAGGCAGCAGTGCCAAAAGCTGAAGATGTGTAGATTTGTGTTTCTGGACTGCAGGTCCCAGAATTCTGCCTGAGAAATTCTTAGAAGAATTCTGGAAGGTGCTGCCAAGGGAATTACGGGAACTGCAGTCCAAAACTCCAAATCTGTTCATATCTAGTTTGCCTGAAAATAAGGACTATGTCAGAAAGGACCGTTAAGACTTCTCCCCATACCATAACATGCAGTTCCACAAATCTCCCCACCTACTCTGTTTCATGTAGGGCAGTCAAACAAAATGGAGGACAAGGTTCCTGTGTGTTTAATAGTCACATGGAAGCAGGTGTAGCTTTTGAAAATTTCTTTTTGTAGACATATCAATGAAGACTGTAAGTTTCATTACAACTCTGAAATTTTATCTTCTGTACAACTATTAAAGGTATTGGAGTTTTGCCTTTCATTTCACATGACCGTCCTAACACTTTGTGGCTGGCAATATAACATGTAGAAGGGAGCCTTAATTTTTCCTCCTGTACAGTACAGGGGAACTGTGGGAGGATGATGAAAGAGATTCCCAATAATTCCAGCTCTACAGCTCTAAGATGATGAGACTGCACACTCCCAATACATATATACTTGCCTAGTAAAGAAGGCTACAGTGGTGCCTCGCTTTACGATTGCCCCGCATTACGATGAATCCACTTTACGACAATCTTTTTGCGATCGCAATTGCGATCGCAAAAGATGGTCTAAATGGAGGAATTTCGCTTTGTGATGATTGGTTCCCTGCTTTGGGAACCAATTCTTCGCAAAATGATGATTTCACAACAGCTGATTGGCGGTTTCAAAATGGCCGCCGGGTAAATAAAATGGCTCCCCGCTGTGTTTAGGGACAGATTCCTCGCTACACAGGCAGTGAAAATGGCCACCGTATGGAAGATCTTCGCTGGACGGTGAGTTTTAAGCCCACTGGAATGCATTGAAAGGTTTTCAATGTGTTTCAATGGGCTTTTTATTTTTGCTTTACGATGTTTTCGCTTAATGGCGATCTTCCTGGAATGGATTATCGCCGTTAAGTGAGGCATCACTGTACTACAATGTGGCTTCAAGAGCCCAAAACATTGTTATTTGGAAATAACACAGCTAGGAGTTAGGGAAAATTTACCGGAGCAAAAAGAATTACTTGAGACTTGTTCAGGTGAATCCCCTTTTAAGCAGCTGTCCATACTCTACAACTAGAATGCATAGCATTTATTAACACAGGAAAGAACTTGTAAATGAAATCTTGATTGTGCTCAACCATGAGATATCATTAAATACAAATTTTCACAATGGGCAGGAACATAACCCACTTTCTCTCAAGTTGGATGGCTCTCAATAAGAACGTTATGCCTTATTTAGATATATTTAGTGCCAGGTAGTTATACTTTCAGTACCTTCACAAATGAGCTTGGGACCAGAGTTTTCTTTCCCATCTCAAAGATATGAGAAGGTGGCTAAGGACACTCTGTATAAAACACTATTTTTAACTACTTCCAGCTGGTGTGACTAGCAAACATTTTAGATTAAAAAAGGTTTTCTAAAAAAAATTGTCCAACCAAGCAAGTTTTTCCACAAGCATCTTCCAAGATATATGTTGAATGGCTGCAATCTTGTTTTGTAAAGAAGCCAAATACAAAAATACTGCAGAACTACAACATTTGCAGAACAGTGAGTTTTTCCAAGATCAGTAGGTTGGTCTACCCTTGGATCTTTCTGTAGTTTCCTATAGAGACTGAAAAGTCAACATTCTTTTTAAATCTGTTTCAGGGTGTTTTTTTTCCACTCCTTTTTTCTTTTTAACTTTTGAGCTGACAGAACTTCTGGCTTCAAACCAGATCACAGAACGCCAAGAACGAAACACTGCTGCACAGCAGTAAGGTGCATTTGGAGCTAAGTAGTTCCAGCTGTAGACAATAGTTGAAAACTGTTTCACTACCTGATTTAAGTTTTTCTTACCAATATTCCATTCACTGAAAGCTCTTACTGTGAACTTCTGACCATCCACGGTAAAGAATTCTCTTTCTGCAAAGGCTTTGCCTCCTGTGCTGTGATTTTCATAGTCTCTCACAGATTCATTACAAGATGACTCTCCATCACCAATCACACTAACTAAAGCCCAAGCCTGCCTGTAAATGATGAAACTCATGGTTAATTACAAAGCCCTCTCAACTGCTATTCCTAACATTGCACATGTCAGAAGTCACATGAATGTGAACTAATGATCATATTTAAAATGTTATCAAATAACAGAAAACTCCTCAGAGGTTTTTGGCAGCATGATGGATTTCTCTACATTTCTCTACTCATAACCACATGTTAAAAACCACAGCAGTTAATGTTCAGAAAGACACATATACGAAAGAAAATTATTTTAATTGAATTCATTAACTGTTTGGGAGTCCACACTTTTTTCTTCCTCCTCTAAATGGAGCAGAAAACATACAAGTGCATGCTGATCAACAAAAGAAATTAACTAAAGGACCAAGTTACTTTTTTGGATGGGAATTTACATTCACCACCGAATTCATTTAATCTTAATTAATTTTGCACTATTTCCCATCATGTTGTATAAAGAGTAGGAGAGGGGATATGGGTAAGGAAGTCTATCACTGTGCATAAAGGAGAGATTGTGCATAGTGACATAATTTATTTACAGTATTTTTTTTATTTATTTGATTTATACCCTGCCTATCTGGCCCACAGGGCCACTCTAGGCGGCTTCCAATATAAAATCAGATAATAAAAACATAAGCAAATACTGTACATAATAATCAAACAACAACAGCACAGAATAAAGAAGGAAAAGTAAGAGAGAAATCAAGAATTGGCTGTAACACAAGATGTAGTTATCAAAGTGCTGGAAAAGTTGAGATTATAGAAATTATATGAATCAGTGGATGCAACTCTCAAAGTCTTATTTTTTACAAGCATCAAAAGAAATTTTCAAGATTAGCACATTCCAGTGTGGCTGGGGGTGGGAGGGGAGAAGAATAGAAATATATATATATATGTTATAGCTTCTTTATGCATGGGCTAACTTGATCAGAACTTATGGTAGAACTACACTGTGTGTCTTGCCATTTTCAAGAAAACTCTTAAGACAGGCTTACAATTAAGGGGGGAGGGCACAAGGGTTACAGTGCCTGTACGTAATTCTTAAAGGCTTCCTGATAACAGACTGCCATTAGTGCAGCTGGACATGCTAGAAGGCTGGCATAAAGTCTTCACTGGAAACATCCCATAAATTACTCATTCAAGGTCAGAAAGCAAGCCAAGTTCCACCTCCGCACTTTCCTCCCCAGCTCTTACTTTGAAAGCTCTCACTCTGCTGCTCTGACATTACCTTCATGCTTTTATGGTTACTCTTGATTTTGCTCCTATTACCTCTAATCTAAGCCAGCTCTTGACTTGACAGCACTGATGCCCACAATTTCAATTTTCTTCCTACCACCCTGCTTTTCCTTTAAGTTGCATGCCAAGTTGTATCAACATTTCCAGCAATTATTTCATTTAGGACTTCCAGGGCTGGAGAGTTAAATTTAAGCAGCGGAGGCCCATCCAAGAAAGCTGTTCCTTGATATTTTTAGTACACATTCTGTTCCATGTACTTCTTGAGAACCTTACAGTCACCCATTTAAAACAAACAAACAAAATCCTTCTGCAATTCCAGATGCCTCTGTATTATGCTGTCCACTCTGAAAAAAGGTTTCAGATGGATAGGATACCAGGGTGATGGCCTTCCTGCAGCCACTCCCTGCCATGGATTCTAAATAGCTAAGAAGGGGATACAGTACAGGAAGAACATCAATACTAGTCTTCCAAAATGAAATCAGTAAGGACTATGCAAGACTGAACTCCAAAACCCACAAGAGCTAAGACATCTAGAACAACCTAGCAGTATGTGTGCACGGACATCACCACCCATGGAAGTGCTATGGCCAAGGGGAAGGTACCTTCTGCAAGTAGCTTCCATGTTTCCCTTGCCTCCTTCTGTCCCATAAACCAAGGGTCCCCACACCCAGTCCGCAATCTGGCACCGGTCTGGGCCTAGGCAGGACCGGGCTGTGGACACAGATCTCCTGCCCCCTGCGACCGCCCCTGTGCATGTGTGTGAATGCGCCACTCCCACCTGCAAGCATGACACGCCCCTGCAAGAGTGTGCCATGCCCCTGCACGGACCCCGCCCCCACACGAGCTTGCCATGTTCCCGTACACATGGACCCCGCTCCCCCAACCGGTCCGTGGTTGAGAAAAGGTTGGGGACCACTGCCATAAACCCTCTGTATGCCAAAAAAAACAGAGACACACCAAACCAACCACCAAACCAACTGCAGCAGGCTAGAACTGATAGATAATGGGCAAAACAGGATAAAGTCTGATACCACCACCAAATAAAAAGGACAAGACTGGCAACTATGCAAGTTGGAAGCTAACTGACTAACATATAAACATGTCAGTATGTGTAAAATTGGACACTATCATTCAAATGATTCATTTGATTTAGATGATTCTAAATCATCTGTTTTTACAGAAGAGATGCTACATTCTGAGAGATGCTATGGTACAGTATATAGAGAAAGTGTCAGACTAGGATCCAAGATACCTGCATTTAAATCCCCATTTGGTCAAGGAAACCTACGGGGAGATGGAAGTGGTTAATCACTCCTTGAACATATTAGGTAAAGGTAAACGTTCCCCTTGACATTTAGTCCAGTCGTGTCCGACTCTAGGGTGCAGTGCTCATCCCCGTCTCCAAGCCATAGAGCCAGCGTTTGTCCGAAGACAGTTTCCGTGGTCACGTGGCCAGCGCGACTAGACATAGAACGTTGTTTCCTTCCCACCGAGGGGGTACATATTTATCTACTCACATTTTTACATGCTTTCGAACTGCTAGGTTGGCAGGAGCGGGGACAAACAACGGGAGCTCACTCCGCCGTGTGGATTTGATCTTAACGACTGCTGGTCTTCTGACCTTGCAGCACAGAGGCTTCTGCGGTTTAACCCGCCGTGCCACCACGTCCCTCCTTGAACATCTTACCTGTGTCAAAAACTTTACATTGGTTGCCAAAAATCAGAAGAGACTCAATGACACGTAGAAACAACAACTGTTATATTGTGACAGTATCACTGTATTTAGACCATACGGTTTCTTTCTCTCTTTCTAGCTGGAGCAAAGTATCAGGCTTTGGGATTTTCTCCTTAGTACACAGACTTGTTACAACTTGGAAAACATACTTTTATACAAGTCCCACAATATCCCAGTCACCATTGCTAGCTTTAACTTCCTCCCCATATCAAACACCAAACACCTCCCAACACCTCCCAAAATAGTGGGTCTGAGCACCACACCCTACATCCAGAGACTCCTCAGCTGCCTCTCATGCTATCTGGCCATTCTGTAGCCTTTGACTTGAACTGGACTTTGGGATTAATTTGCTAAAGTAACATTTGTTGTAGTGAGAAGTTGTTATTTTTTGTCAAACCAAGGCTTGGATGGGAAAAAGAAGAGAAGAAAAAAAATCTAGAATAAAAGAAAGAATAACTATCTAGATCCAATTTAAGCAATTCTTTGCTACAACATGCAGGTCACTTGCACAGGCCACAATTCACTTGCCATCCTATTGTCTTCACATAACTTCTGCATTTCTGAAATTCGTCTGGCGCCGACGTTGATGACATTTCGGCACCAGGTCAAAACCTTCCTGTTCCAGAAGGCTTTTAATTGAAATAACAACTGTGGGTCCTGATGATGGCAATTTTAATTGTATTTTAATTGTATTTTAGTCATTTTATTGCATTGAATTTTAATTATTGTAAGCCGCCCAGAGACCTCTGGGTAGAGTGGGCGACATATAAATTAAATAAATAAATAATTTATCCCAGAATTTTTTTTACTACTTTTATTATTTCTTCTAATTTTTTATTGCAGTTTCTGAGTGGAATTAATTTAGGTTTGTGTAAATTGTGCTGTGACTCCAGTACAGTGGAGCTGGGCTTTCCTAGGTTAAAGCCCCAATATTTTTCGACCAGCAGGGCCCATGGCATTATCCGACACTCCACTCAAGACTTCCCTGTTTTCTTTGAGATAAGCTGCAACTCTCACAGGAGCCAGGAGATTGATTTCTTTTCAGGAACTAGATATTGTTCCAAGCAGTCTCTGCTGTAATGAAAATATTGTGAAAGTGGGTTGGTCATGAATGAACAATTGAGAGCCATTAATTTTACAAAATACTTGCTTGTCATTTCTTGATACCAACCAATCCGACTGCCTGCATTTTTGGCATTTCTTCAAGGCAGTGGGCTGGCATGAGCACCTGCATTTCCAAATTTACCACTACACTGGTGGGGAGGGCTTCAAACTTAGAGTTTGTCTTGCCACATTTTGCTTACCTTCATCTCTCACTTCTGGAGCATGTGGCTGGGGGTGAGAGGTAAGATTTTTTGGAAGTAATTAATTGGCAGTTATCTTCCATTTTCTCTCCAATGACAATGGGAGTGGCTGACTGCTCACTGTCGAGACCCTGTTTTCAGTTCCCCTACAAGCCATGCAGCTTGAATAAGTGCACCTCCTCTTTATTTAAAAGTCTGCATTGCTACACAGCCATGAAACTGGGATCAAACAAAAGAAACTCTACTGGCTGTGTGACCTCCTTCTGCTCACAACTGCAGCCCTCTGCTCTTGGGGCATGTCCTCTTGCTACAGACAAAAATGATAAAGCAAATGTGACCTTCCAAGTTCCTTCTGTAATTACACTGTGCACTGTTATGTGGCAGCTCATTGTATTACAAACACAGGGAAGGCTGTACATTATGAACAGGTGACCCCAAAGCAACAATTATGTGTGAAACAGCCAGGGCAGTGCTTTGGAAAAAAAAAGGGACCTCAATGCCATTTCCACACATAAGGAATCAGAAGATTTTTTCCAGATTTATTTCTTCTCAGAAGAATACCCTGGCCGAGGGCAGTAGCACTGGAAAGTCTCTGTGTTTGCATATACGCATGTCTCCTTGCAGTGGGAGAAGGAGAAAAGGTGGAAAGGAGTAAAGGAAGATCAAAGACAGACGAGGGGAGTTCCTTCTCTAAATTGAAAAGTTCTAAGAGAGAAAGGTTGAGGGAAATTAGAGAGAAAACAGGGATGGGGAGAGGACAAGCTGAATAAATTGGCTGGATGTTACAGCTCTGTAATTAGGGAGAAGTCCTCAACAAGAAGAAAAACATTAAAAGCATCCTAAAATGTAACTGTATAAAGTAATAGTACCGCTTTATAAAATCAAAAAATACCAAGCAAAACATTAAGAAATAATAATGAAAAAGATTTATTTATCTTCTAAAACCAAATGTAATGAAGGATATGTTACATAAAGGTTAGGTAAAGAAACACCACTGTTTTCGAAACAAGCTTTATAGTTCTAGGCATCAGGCCAATGGCTGGTAGTTTAGGAAGGCCTTCAACTGAAAATGTTCTGTCTGATTGGGAATCGGTTCGGGTTGTTTTCCTTCCACTGTGGCTTCTCCTTGTTCCTTAGGTTTTATAGGCTGCTGTTTTTCTTTTGTTTTTGGTCTGCTGGCCTTTTCTAATAAGCGCATTCTGTAGATTTGGCTTCACTGTCCAAATGTTTTACTATCTGAGTTCCTTTTGGGGCAGGGAAGAGGGGATAAACGGATGATATTTAATGAGAACTTTCAGTAGGACCTTCCCTATACAAACATCTGACATTAGTACATTAATATTTGCTGTATACTAAATAATTATGCCTAAATCAAACTGCTAGTCTCAACCAGCACAGACTTACCTACTGACTTGCCAGAGAAATTACTCTAGCTGAGATCAGCAACTGGATTTAAGTTTTGGTTTACAGAAACCCTGTCAAGAACTCTTCCAAATTTAGTATCACTTGTGTGAAATGCGTTGTTTCAGGTTCACACACAAATACCCAGAAACATCAAAAGAGGGCTATCATGTAGTGACTTTCTGTCTAATACCTAGCTGTAGCGTTCCCCTTTATTTTGTCAATGGTTCATGTTTTAGTATGTTAATTGTTCATGCATATTCATGTTGCTGAGAGGCAGAGCCGAGAGAGAGTCAGTCAGAGAGTTGGAGTGGAATGTGTGAGAGAGAAGTAGTTAGAGTGTGGAGTTTTGGGAATTCTGAGGTGTGATTAAAGTTAGAAGTGTATTATCAAATAAAAGGAGGTGGTTAATAATAAATTTACCTAAAGAAGATATTCATGAATCACTATCAATTTCTGTATTCAATAAACAAAAGTTATATTTAAAAGACTTTGAAGTGTGGACCTGAATCTTCATCTTCCTGAAGTAATGGTGATTTAGTGATCACCTGGTGGCAACAGTGTAAAAGACGGGATTGTTTGCCTTCATGTGCTCTGAGTTTTGACGGTCAAGAAAGGGGCACGAGGGTGAACGCCACCCAAGTATTAATTAATATTTAAAGGAAAAAGATCTCTGACACAAATACTTTCTAAGTCTGAATATGAAAGTGAGTGGCACTTACACCATCCAAGGGAAATATTTTTGGGTTGTTTTATCACTATACTGCCTATTTTTAACATCCTTATTCTGAGAGACTTTGACAAGAGTTACACTGGGGTGGGGGAGGTGAACCTCAGACTCTGGACTACAAGTCCCAGTCTGGCCCTTTTCCCCATGACAACATCACTTGGCATCTTCCCAGCTGTTGTATACCTCCCTCCACTGCCCCTGCTGAAATATTAAAATGCTTCTCCTAAGGCATACTAATTGGCTAAAAAGGATTCAAGCTAAAATATGGTCCTATATTTTTGGTCCCCCCTCTTTTGCCTTTGGTCCCATCTACCATTGGTGTGCCTTGGCCACTCAATGAATACTGCAATTTAATTCAGGCAGGAAAGGATTCCCCCACCAACCCTGGAACATACGGTTGTGTGAAGCAGGCCAGGACTTTTGTTTCAGTGACCTTTATAAGACTATCAAAGTTATAGTTACAAACCACAGTAACACAATTCCAAGGGGTTTACAATTTCAAAATCCTGACCAAAGAAATTCCTTGTGATTGTTCTATACAATATATTCAGAAGCAGAACAACTTAATATATCACATAAAAACCTCTGCATGAGTGAAAACAGTAGACTTGACCTCTGTATGCAACACAAATGATTCCTATCCACCCAACCATCCACCCATCGTAGGTTGTATAAATAGAAGTAGATTCTTTTTTCTTTTTACCTGTAACTCAATCCTTTGATGAGTTTACTTCCCAGGAGGTTCTGTATGGTTGTTCTGGTTTCATCCAGTAGGTTTTTCGCAGCAGAATCCCCCACAACAATACCAACAACACGGCCAAAATCCAGGCCTTTAAGAAAATCCTGAAGTTTCCTGCTATCATTTTGATATTCATGAGTATCAAACCTCTCTACTGCCAAAACGCGTGCAGTGTCTTGGTCAATGACTCTCACATTGAGGCCTCGGAAATATTCCTTTTCAAATGTATATGATCCAGAGGCCAGCCCTGAAGAGTACAGAGTCTTTGATAAAGACGTCCACGCTAACTTCTGAGATCCATGCAATTCCAGTGTTCCGCCAGGGCCCACACCCACAAACTTTTGGCCAAATGTTGGCACATAATCACTTTCATCCTTTTTGCCATACAAGATGATAGTTGCTTTGGATTTGTAACGGCATTTTTCTGCTCCAATATGAAGCGCTCCACCATCCTTTATCAGGATAAAACGTGTTCGCAGTGTAATATTTCTGGATCCTTTTTCATCATCGGCAAAGACAAGTAATCCTGAAGGGAATAATATTTTTCAGTAAGCAGCCTCTCAAGCAATATCTGGACATTTTGAAGGACAACGTTTTGGCGGAGCAAACAAGTCATGACGCTAGCAAAAAAAAAAGCTGTTCAAATATCCGTGAATTTTAGATCTCAAACACACAAGGACATTTTCAGAGAGAAAATTCAGCGTATCATGGAGTACTGGAACAAAGAAAAAAAAATACAAAAACAAAGAGTGTATCTGAGGCACTGAACGGAGTGTTCTGCACTGCTTTACAAGTCTGATCATGTCCTTGAAGTTACCAAGCAAATTCTGCTGTGTAAGCGTCCTAAATGGTTGATGACTGAGCAGCATCTCTTTATATTCGATACACTTTAGCACCATAAGAGGAAATGCGTGAAAAGAATCCAGATGGTAAGAAAGTTCAAAACAGATTAGATCAACAATGTAACAGAACAATCAAGATAGGTAGACAGAAAAACTACTGCAGGCTGATTTTTAAAAGAGGAATGGAGTTAAGTTGAAAGTTTTAAAAGAAAAACTTTTCTCTCTCCTCTAAGAAAGCAGGAGACATACTTACATTCAGAATGTGAAAAAAAACCCACACAGCTAATAATCTAATACCACTGCTGTTTTCAGGCCTAATTTTTCACAACTTTTAGAAGCAAGATGGGCACAGATGAAGTTGTTGTACATTGAAATAGGTTTGAAGGAAATTTGTAGGACAAAACATTCAAATTCTTATAATCTTAGATTTTTGCTAGGAGGCTTACTACTTAGTGGCTGAAATCCAGCAGGAAATCACAACTAGAGTAAATCCACTGAATCAATAGAACTTATATAGGTGTTATCTCACCAAATCCTCACTGATTCAATGGGCCTAATGCAGTTCCAACTTACTACCAGATTTCGGTCAGTTTGTCTGCTCTCTCCCTCTGATCTTTTCAAGATATATTCTAAGTTTAACTGTTTGAAAAGAACTACAGTGTTTTTTTCTCTCTTCATAGCACAGGAAATGAACTGGGAGGAAACCTCCTCTTGGAACAGCTGATTTCAGATCTCTGTCCCGAAGCTGTGTTGTTGTTCAGCTTTGTCTGTTCCCATTCCCTTATCTCTAGCACTGAATATCAACAACTCACAAGTTCTGAAGTGGACTTTACTAATGCAATGTTATGTCACTTGACAGGATGACATTCATCATTTCTTGGAACAACAATACAGATTACGTGTGAAGGATGTCACTTTTCCTAATGTGCCAAATAACATTTACAGTAAGAGAAATTGCTGGAACATATTTACAGAATAGTACCTTGGCAATGAATCAATTTACAACACTACTTTAGTTCAATTAATATTTGTCTCACATACAGTAACCAAGTGAGACTCTGAAGTACTACATGCTACCAAACGTAACCTTTTCTTTCTTTCTTTTTTAAATGGAACATTCTAGACAACAGAAATGGGTAACATGTACAACACATTAAATATAATCACTTGAGCATTTAATTGATCCAGTAAAAACTGTTGTATGTAAAACAATATTTTTTTTATTTAAAAAGGTTTCTTTCAGTTGACTTCAGCTGTATGCATGGTCACAATTATTAGCATACAGGAAAAATGTATTTTTCAGGGCCAAATGAAACAGGAGGGGGGCACTTCTATTTATTTATTTATTTTATTTTATTTTACAATATTTTTTAGCCGCACCATTGCCAGTGGCTTCAAGGAACACATGTGTAGTATATTCAGAAACAAATTGGATGGGAAAGGGGACAAAAGCAGCTCTGTACATTTGAGGGGAACTAAATCCTCTCCATCATCTAACACCTGTCACTGGAGGCCTAGTTCTGATGCTAGAAGGGAGTCGGGATGGACAGAAGAGTGCCCATGGAGACTAGTTAGACATGTATGATAAACATATATGGCAAAGGCTTCTGGGAATTGCAGTTCCGGAACACCTGAACTAGCATCTTAACAGCCTCTTATTAGCCAACATAGTTACTGATCATCAGATGAAAACTGATGTTCATCCACATCTGTAGGGCCACACATGGCCTATGACATGCTGAATCCATGATGGTACTTTACATACCCCCATCCTGTATAACTATAGAGTGCACTGTAGCATCTGTGCTCAGACGAAACAGATCTCCCTGTTGAAGTATAATTTTCTTTTCTTTATCATGTCCAGGATTCCAATTTTTAAGACGAGGATCCTGATCTGGACAGTTCTCTACAACACAAACACAGTTATGATTAAACCACCAATTTCAAATCTTTAGAGCATGGATAACAATAATCATAGGCTGTCAACTCAACTCTGACTTTCAAGGGTTTTCTAAGTAGAGAGTACTCAAAAGTGGCTTACCATTCCCTTCTTCTGGGGGCATCCTGGGACTATGCAGCTTGCCAAGGCTACACAGTTTAGCTCTACTCACAGAAAGCATTGTAGGGAATTGAACTCCCTAACTCTGGCTCCGCAGCCGGATACCTACCTAACAGCAAACTCATATTTAAGGGCCAATTATAGTCCCCAAAACAATTTCATCCACCCTGCTGACTGAACAAAGTTAAGTCAAGAGATTTTACAAAAATGTTTTAATTGAAAACATGAATTGAAAAAATTAACTCACAAGATTAAAAAAATTGTTTTCCTGCTAAACTAGTGATTATTTAATGTTACTTTTTGAAGATTCTGAACTCAGAATATATATCTAAATTACTATACTGACAAAATACATTTCTAGCCATGGACTTGGGAACAGAATGGTGCCTGAGAATAGAAAAATTGGTAATCTCTGATGAAGACAATTAAGAATAAAACAAATGCTAGGCGGTCTGGCCTCATTAAACTAGTTTTGAAATATCATCAGAGTCTATTTTACCATTTAATGCAGGCTAATTTCTGTAAGAAATCAGGTAAATGATTTAGATATTTGGCTTTAGGCTTAGTCATTTTAGTAACTGCTCATACATAATTTATTTCATTAATTATTAATTATTTGTATTGTGTTTTTAAAATCTCATAGAATTTGTTCTTTTAATGTTACATTTTATACATATTTCATATTGTCTTTACAAAGTCTCATGCAATAAAGCTGTAGTATGTTATGCCTTACGAAATAAATGAATGAACAAGCAGACACATATACACATCTCATTTCCAAATCATTCCACTTTCCTGTTTTTCTTCATTCACTTTGTAAGAACTTGTGATTGAGCAATAATTCAGCAAGGGTTTCAGCAGAAGCAATCCGGCCTCTGGCAAAGGCATGAAAGTTTACTGAGCCTTCTCTATAGGTGTCCCTAATTAACCTTACTATCAACTCTAGCTATAATAAGTGGCAGTTGTTTTAAAATCACTGATGATTTCAGCAGTGACCACAAAATGCTATATTTTGTACTCTTCAACTGCTTCTCTTCTACATTTTGGTAGATATTTCACCACATGGGAAAATCTCTTCAATCTCCGTGCTTTAGTAGATATCACAAGTTTAATGATTCATAAGGTGATCCTGCCTTTTCCTCTCCTCTCCATCACTCCTCTCCTCAGCGATTTCTGTGATTACATAGTGTATATTTCACTTTGCTTTAATTTCACTGGGAAGGAGAGAACTTTGCAATTCATCCTACTTGACCATTAGAAATTGTTTCCTACTGTCAAACTTATGCAACTCACACTGCTAAAGAAAAGTATTCCTTTGGATTATTACCTTGGATGGCTCAGCTCTTTCACTCTTTCTTTTAATAGATGTTATATAATCCTTTAGTTTCTTAATACACATTTTCTGGAGCAAAACTGTGTGTATTTTTATGCAATAGAGAATTTATCCACAACCACTAAAGGTAGAAGCCATTAGGAAACAACTGGCAACACTGTTTATTTTAAATACCAGTACTTAACACACCATTACAGAAAGATGGGATTTCCAGGAACAAACTATGTTACATACATACACTTGGTTCCATAAAAAGGTTAAAATGACAACAAAGTGACATGTTCAAATAAGCGTCATTCCTATTTATGAAAAGTCAAAGCAAGAAACAAATTGCAAAATTATATCCTAGGAGCAAAGCATAATTTCTGATATACAATATGATTTGGTTCTATCTTGCAGAAAAACTTTATTTCGATGACCCTCTATTACAATCACTAATGAAGTGATACAGTACTTGTCTTTTTAAAAAATGGACAGTGTTCCCATTTTTTACCAGTCATCATAGAATCCACTCTTTAAAATGATACAAATTTTACTGAAGAGTAAGAGTTCAAAACCTTTTGCTATATACTCATAAACATTATCACACGTCAACAACAGTAACTCACCATCTGGAGCATATTTTGATGCTATCCCCAAAATAATCCCAAGTGCAATAAAAAATGAAAAACTAGACATGGCAAAGCAAATGAGGGTATTTTTATGCCTTTTCTTTCTGCTTGCTTCTGCTTGACGGCGCTGCTCTTCTGCTGATGAGGCTATGGTTGCATGAGCTTCCTGTCTTGCAGATGTAAATTTGGCTGAAGCTTGGTTCTTTGGAGGGGGTGGAGGACGAAATGGGGCAATTCTTCCTGGGACATACCCAGAGGCTTTGTGGCTGCTGCCATTCTGAGGTTGAAGGAAAGCAGGAGAACGTCCCTTGGGATCAATGCCTTGCATGTTACACGATCACTAGAACAGGAGCAAAAGGGATTAATTTTAAATTATTTCATCATGAAAAAGTCATTTTTACATATAAAAGGTAAACTTACATATTTTCCATATACGACATGTAGCAGAAAAATGCATCCTACAATCCTGGCTCAAAGAGCTACTATAGAAAGTGCAGATAGTTTGACACAAACCATATGTAAATTTCCATTCTGAGTATTCAAATTTCAGCTTATTTAGAAATGAAGATGAATGTAGTTTAACTTACAAAAAAAATAACATAACCTTTTCTATTTTAATTTTTTTAATCTGCAAGAAGGAATTTTGGCAAAATCTCTGAAATAACCTTTATTTTGTGGTTTTAAAGCATCTGATATAAATAAAACATGCAAGCATTTAGTTGGGTTATGTTGAAGTTCCCTGTATTTTGTAAAATATATAAAATTTGTCAACTTGATCAATATGAACTTTAAATAAATATATTTCAAGTTTCCCCTGAAACCTTTTAGCATTAATGGCCCAAATCCTGTTATTAGTATAGTAAATCACACTAGAGTAGGCAACTAAATCTACTTAAGCTAAAGTAAGTCACAGTAGAAGAAGGCTGATAGCCGAAGAATTGATGCTTTTTTTTAAAATTGTGGTGCTGGAAGAGATCCTTGAGAGTTCCCCGGACTGCAAGGAGAATAAACCTATCCATTTTGAAGGAATCAATCCAGAGTGCTCACTGGAAGGACACATCCTGAAGCTGAGGCTCCAATACCTTGGCCATCGCATGAGAAGACTCCCTGGAAAAGACCCTGATGTTGGGAAAGGGTGAAGGCAAGAGGAGAAGGGGACGAGAGAGGATGAGATGGTTGGACAGTGTCATCGAAGTATCAACATGAATTTGACCAAACTCTGGGAGGCAGTGGAAGACAGGAGGGCCTGGCGTGCTCTGGTCCACGGGGTCACGAAGAGCTGGACACGACTTAACGACTAAACAACAACAAAGTAACAGTTAGAATAGGCCCATATGAATCAATGGAACTTATTGAGGATTTGACTCTCTAAATTCCCCTTGATTCACTGGGTTCACTCTAGTGCAATTTACTACACTAAGAAACAGGATTTGGCCAGTCTTGTTTTTTAACAAAAAGATAATGAAAACTCAGAGTTTTCAGAGTTCTCATTATCTTTTTGTTAAAAAACAGTACAGTAGCAGACTTTCCAAGATTTGTAATTTAAACTTTTTTTCAAAGTCATTCTCCACTGGAGGTGAGGGTCTGTCTACTGGGTGGCTGTTCAGGATTTCAAGGGATCTATGAACTACTCTTTGAAAGTTGGGGGGAAACCATTATACCTCTTGCTTTCTTGCTGTTCACCTTTTATTGCAGCAACTTACAGCACATAGTAGTTCACTGATTAGCGCTACTTTTTCTTTATACCTTAGTCTCACTTTAGTACATCTGCAGAAGTAGACTATAATCCAGCAAAAGTAATAAAATGCTAGTCTTTAAGGTTTCTCAAGGCTTTCTGTGACTCTTACTGAAGCAAAGTAATACAACCATCTCTTCAGAAAGGTCTAATATAGTGCAAAGTTTGCTGTTTGAGGTGTTACCACATTTTGGCTACCAAAACATTTCTCCTAGTGGTTGTGGTATGTTAGGTGTGGGGAAGACAAGGCCCACCCCTTGCCTTTCCCAATCTAAGCTACAATACTTCAAATAAATTTCTTGTCAAAGTCTTGTTTGAAGGGAGGCATGTGATTTTTAACTTTATCCAAAAGGACACTGGGTTTTTGAAGGTTGAGAAATGGATTATTATAAAAGAAAGCTGCAATTTATTTCAGTTACTCAAACTATCTTTCATTTGTTTAACTAACACGCCTTACTAAACTGTTCTTATACAGCTCTTTCTATTTTGGGTTGTCCAAAATCCTAACTGTCAGGATATTTCATTTAACTGGGCCTAACAACAGTAAGTTTTTTTATTTCCAAAGATGGAATGATAACTGCTAAGGATTCTGACTAATCATACCCAACACTTCCATAAGTGATCTAATTCCTGCCCACAATAGGATTTATCAACTGGTAAAGTAACCAGACCATCATATGTAAACAAGCTGATGAAGTGCTGAGATTAACTATGGGAGAAACTGTGTAGAGTTTAGGCAAACTGAAACCTGTCTCCATCAATAAAGTAAAGGACACTCAGAACAAACAACAGCAGGTCCATCATCTGCAAGAAAAAAAACTAGCTACTCATCAATAATACACCGAGTGATTTAGGCATCCTTCAGTCTCGAGAGACTATGGTAATGTGCTCTGTATGGAGGACTCACTCTCGAATTGGCCTTCTCAGCCACACTAGACGCTGTTCCAAGTCCTCCATATTTAATACACAGAAAGATAGCAAGAACATTTCTGCCAGAATTCCAAGGGCTACAAAATCTGCTATTCAATGTTTTCTCAGCAGTGAAATAACTACGTCAGTCTTAAACTTAGTGTAACAAAAATGAACATTAAAAAGGAGAATGTCTGTGTGTTCCTAGTGGCTGTTCCTAATGTCAATCAATGATAGCTCAAAAATAGACCAAGGTGCACTGCATTTAAACATGATGTTCTAAACAGGAAACAACGCTGACACAAATGATAAAACAGTAAGTTAACTGAACAGAATTTTATTTTAGAATTTTTAAGAAACAGAATGCCGTTCTGAGCAAGCCTTTCCAATCCTGCAAACACCCATAACAGAGCAGCATAGGCCACCGGGAAAATGTCTTAATACCACTGGGAAAATGTCTGAGCATTTTTTTTCAGCAAAATAGCTGGTGCAGACAGCCAAATTATTCTGGACTGGACTGTCTTAAACCAGCTCACTTTGAGGTGAGGTTTGCCATTTGTAGCAGTCCTTGCATCCACACATTATGCTAAACCAGTGGTCCACAACCTTTTCCCAACCGCACTGTTTGGGGGGGGTGGCATGCCCGCAGGGGGGCGGAGCTTATGCATGTGCATGCAGACAGCGCACTCACGGGGGGGGGTAAGAGATCTGTGTCCGTGGCCTGGTCCTGGATAGGCTGCGGACTGCTGCCAGGTCACAGACTGGGGGGTTGGGGACCTCTGCACTAACAATCCTACTTAGCCCATTCCTCCCTTTAAAGATAAAGGATTTTTAAAAAACACACCCACACAAAAGATGCTCCTGCTAGTCCCTTCCTGTCTCTCCCTACACAGAGGAAACCTTTATTAAATAAAATAAAATAAAAACCAAGTGGAATAACATTGAATTGGTTTGCTGATCAACCAGTTCAGCACTGGATTACAATGGCTTTGAGGGGGAAAAACTGCATTTTCTTCTGTCTCCCCCCTCCACTAGGAAACAGAAAGCTTTTAATTTCTTAGTAAATACTTAGATCCTACAGCAGTAAGGCAAAACACTGCCAACCAGCCAGCCACATTTGTTCAGTCCCAGTGAACACAAATCCCAAAATCAAACCAAAACTGAACAATTCCACTTACAATTTTACAATCCCACACACTATACCAGAACACAGGGTTCTAGCTCCTGTCCTCTGAAGATGCCGGTCACAGAGACTGATGAAACGTTAGGAAGAAAAACTCCAGAACACAGCCAAACAGCCTGAAAAACCCACAACAACCATCAGATCCCAGCTGTGAAAGCCTTCAAAAACAAATTCTAGCCACATAAAGAGAAGAAGCCCCTGACAGGGGACAAAAAAAGGAGCAGATAGGCATGGATGAAGCATGGGCTGGATCACAATTGCTTCTACATTATGTGGTCACTGGAAAAAAGGAGCAACCCAACCTGTCCCCAAAGTGGACTAAACCATGGGACAAAGTCCCATGTAATTGCACCTTTTGGATTTGCCTCCAAAAGCAGGTTATATAACCTGGCACACAATTTTCACTCTCAACAAATGTAGTATATTTTAAGATACAAGTTTCTGAAAATCGTGTTTTCTTGAAGACAATTCCATGAACAAACTATAGAAAATGCTTATTGTACTGGATTTTTAAAGATCTCCAAATGACACCCTTATCAGAGGTCTTGTATAAAAAGCTTTTGCTATGAGATATTTGTAGTAGCTCCTGATAGCACTTCAAGACAGTGTCATAAACAAAGGTCTTGCTTGACACCTACTACATTACTTTTGCACCAGCAAAAATACTCCAAAATATTTCAGCTTGCTGGTATTTAAAAATAATGTTAAGGATCTTATTGTTAAGGATGCTGGTATTTAAAAATAATGTTAAGGATTTTATTGTTAAGGATCTTATTGTTAAGGATCCTCGCCTCTGGAACAACCTCCCTCCGGAGATTCGCACAGCCCCCATGCTGGGTACCTTTAAAAGCCAATTAAAAACATGGATGTATATTCAGGCCTTCCCTCTAGTCAATACTTGATTTTTCTTTTTATTCTTTATTTATTTCTTACTCTATTTTTGTATTGTAACTTGTTATTGGATGACTTATGTATAAAACATCCGAGTAAGAAAGGTTAAGAACCTAGGCTCTAGTCAATACTTGATTTTTCTCTTTATTCTTTATTTCTCACTCTGTTTTTGTATTATAACTTGTTATTGGATGACTTATGTAATATTTTTGTGTTGTTTTATTGTTTTTATGTTATATTGGAAGTCGCCTAGAGTGGTCGTATAGACCAGATGGGCGGGATACAAATCAAATCAAATCAAATCAAATCAAATCAAATCAAATCAAATCAAATCAAATCAAATCAAATCAAATCAAATCAAATCAAATCAAATCAAATCAAATCAAATCAAATCAAATCAAATCAAATCAAATCAAATCAAATCAAATCAAATCAAATCAAATCAAATCAAATCAAATCAATCAATCAATTATTGGCTTTTTACTGGTTCCGGATACAGCTGGTTTTACACCATCCAGAAATCCTTATGTGCAGCATATAAATGATTTAAATAAATACATGCAGATTTACATAAAGCTATAGCACATCAGAAGTTCAAGAACTTTAAATCCTTTAACACCAA